TGCTCTTTGCTGATGACACTGTGCTACTTGGGAGATTCTGAAGAGAAGTTGCAGAGATTGGTGGATGAATTTGGTAGGTGTGCAAAAGAAGAAAATTAAAGGTGAATACAGGAAAGAGTAAGGTTATGAGGATAACAAAAAGATTAGGTGATGAAAGATTGAATATCAGATTGGAGGGAGAGAGTATGGAGGAGTGAATGTATTCAGATATTTGGGAGTGGACGTGTCAGCGGATGGGTCTATGAAAGATGAGGTGAATCATAGAATTGATGAGGGGAAAAGAGTGAGTGGTGCACTTAGGAGTCTGTGGAGAAAAAAGAACTTTGTCCTTGGAGGCAAAGAGGGGAATGTATGAGAGTATAGTTTTACCAACGCTCTTATATGGGGTGTGAAGCATGGGTGATGAATGTTGCAGCGAGGAGAAGGCTGGAGGCAGTGGAGATGTCATGTCTGAGGGCAATGTGTGATGTGAATATAATGCAGAGAATTCGTAGTTTGGAAGTTAGGAGGAGGTGCGGGATTACCAAAACTGTTGTCCAGAGGGCTGAGGAAGGGTTGTTGAGGTGGTTCGGACATGTAGAGAGAATGGAGCGAAACAGAATGACTTCAAGAGTGTATCAGTCTGTAGTGGAAGGAAGGCGGGTTAGGGGTCGGCCTAGGAAAGGTTGGAGAGAGGGGGTAAAGGAGGTTTTGTGTGCGAGGGGCTTGGACTTCCAGCAGGTATGCGTGAGCGTGTTTGATAGGAGTGAATGGAGACAAATGGTTTTTAATACTTGACGTGCTGTTGGAGTGTGAGCAAAGTAACATTTATGAAGGGTTCAGGGAAACCGGCAGGCCGGACTTGAGTCCTGGAGATGGGAAGTACAGTGCCTGCACTCTGAAGGAGGGGTGTTAATGTTGCAGTTTAAAAACTCTAGTGTAAAGCATCCTTCTGGCAAGACAGTGATGGAGTGAATGATGGTGAAAGTTTTTCTTTTTCGGGCCACCCTGCCTTGGTGGGAATCGGCCAGTGTGATAATAAAAAAAAATAATAATAAAAAATATATATATATATATATATATATATATATATATATATATATTTTATTTATTTATTTATTATATACACACCCCTCTGGGTTTTCTTCTATTTTCTTACTAGTTCTTGTTTATTTCCTCTTACCTCCATGGGGGAGTGGAACAGAATTCTTCCTCTGTAAGCCATGCGTGTTATAACATGCTGGGAGCAAGGGGCTAGTAACCCCTAGTAACTTTAGTTTTTCTTTTAAGGTTTTCCCCTGCCTCGAGGGATATGGCCGGTTTAATGAAAAAAAAAAAGAGTAATGTGTGGAGTATATATTCATTTTTTAGGCCTAGCTCTATTGCTCATCTAATATGATAACATAAACATCTTAGGTATAGGTAGTAGGTTGGTAGACAACAACCGCCCAGGGAGGTACTGCCGTCCTGCCAAGCGAGTGTAAAACAAAAGCCTGTAATTGTTTTACATGATGGTAGGATTGCTAGTGTCCTTTTTTTCTGTCTCATAAACATGAAAGATTTCAGGTATGTCTTGCTACTTCTACTTAAACTTAGGTCACACTACACATACATGTACAAGCATATATATACACACACCCCTCTGGGCTTTCTGCTATTTTCTTTCTAGTTCTTGTTCTTGTTTATTTCCTATTATCTCCATGGGGAAGTGGAACATAATTCTTCCTCTGTAAGCCATGCGTGTTGTAAGAGGCGACTAAAATGCCGGGAGCAAGGGGCTAGTAACCTCTTCTCCTGTATAAATTACTGAATTTAAAAAGAGAAACTTTTGTTTTTCTTTTTGGGCCACCCTGCCTCGGTGGGATATGGCCGGTTTGATGAAAAAAAAAAAAACTCAGGCTTTTATATGCATTTGAAGTGAAAAAAAGGCTTTCATTTTAAAGTGATTATTGCTTTACATTGATAGCTGGAACCCAACCTGCTGTATAAGCAGGGCCCTCCTGTAATTGTACAAAATACAGGTACACCACCAATTTTCCGGCACTCCTGGTTCCAAAGCTTTGCCATATTAACTATTTTGCCGAAGCATTGTTGGTCACTTCCATCAACACACACTAATCCACTAATTATTCACTTCCTGTATGTCTCTAAAGCACTATGGACTTCCAAAACCTTAATTTAAAGAAATACTAAATGTACATTAAATAATTTTAAAAGATTTTTTAACAAAATTTACTCATCAATCTGAAAGTCGAGAGCTGTCATGATTACTGTCTGTTTCTTAGATGATCACTTGATTATGGATTTGTGATGCTGCAGGAGTGACATCCGGGGTACTTGAAGTTGAAGCTGCAGGACACGCATTCTTTTTTGGCAGTCTTTTTAAATATTTCATCCAGGCAAAGTTGCTTCATGCGTTTTGATCTTTCAGTGTAATTTTCATGCAACAAATGCAAATTCATTAGTTCTTGTTCCTTAACCCTTTGAGGGTTTTCGTCGTACTAGTACGTCTTACGCGTAGGGGTTTTTGACGTACTAGTACTCGTAAATTCTAGCGACCTCAAAATCTAGTGGGAGAAAGCTGGTAGGCCTTCATATGAAAGAATGGGTCTATGTGGTCAGTGTGCACAGTCTAAAAAAAATCCTGCAGCACACGGTGCATAATGAGAAAAAAAAAACTTTTTCCATTTTTTTTAATAAATCAGCGACTTTGCAGTGTATTTTCGTATAGTATTTATTGTTGTATTCTAGTTTTCTTGGTCTCATTTTATAGAATGGAAGACATATTACTGAAATTGAGATGATTTTGACTGGTTTTACAATGAAAGGTGCCTTGAAATTGAGCTCAAAGTAGCAGAAATGTTCGATTTTTACCAAACTTCAAAAGTAAACAAATCGTGCCAAGCGTGCAATACACGTCAACTGGTGAGTCTAATATTCTTTCACAAGTGCACCAATAATATTTATACCATTTTTTTACACTAATGCAGTAGTCTGCATAACAGTAAATCTTATATTTTTTGTGAGAATAAAAATTCAAAGTGGAAAGCAAAAGAATATAAGAGGGGCCTTGAGACGTGACTAATGACTAGAGGAAATGTCATTTTAGTGCCAGGAATGTCTTTCTTGTTTATTCTGGACCCTATTCCGAAATTGGCATCTTTTGAAATTTGTGTGAAATTGGCAAAATTGCTAAATTCTGACCACTGTACTGGATAGTTGAATTCATAAATGGGTGGTTTCTTGCACCCATTCGATAGAAAAAATGGAGTTCTAGCGAAATATTCATGTTTTTTGTCGACTAGTACAGTGAAATTGGCCGAAAATGGGGCTCAAAGTGGGCAAAATCGCCGATCCGTAAACATCGCCGAGACCGCTAACTTTGCGAGAGCATAATTCCGTAAGTTTTCTATCAAATTTCAAACTTTTGGTGTCGTTATGATCGGGAAAAGATTCTCTATCTTTTCATAAGAGAAAATAATTATTTTTTTTTTTTAAATTTGGCCGACCCTGAGAACGAGTTTCGGAGAGGGCCTGTCGACCCTCAAAGGGTTAAAGGCGGTACGTTACTCTAGCCCTTGGATTAATTCACTCACCAACTCGGTTAACTTGTCATAAGGAAGTCTTTCAGCTACATCTGTTTCAGCTTATTCACTTCCTGTATTTTTATCAGCATTCAGAACAGTGTCTAATAATTTCCGAGTCTGTAAGATGATGCACAAGTTCCCGCTCATAATTTTGTCTGGACTACAGGAGGTGCCGGATCATCCATTGCTGGAAAATCGGTGGTGTACCTGTACTAGTTCAGATGAGGAACACTTAAATATTTCAGTATTATATATTTAAAACATCTCCATGGGGAAGTGGAACAGAATTCTTCCTCTGTAAGCCATGCGTGTCATAAGAGGCGACTAAAATGCCAGGAGCAAGGGGCTAGTAACCCCTTCTCCTGTATACATTACTAATTTTAAAAAGAGAAACTTTCGTTTTTATTTTTAGGTCACCCTGCCTTGGTAGGATATGGTCAATTTGATGAAGAAAAACAAATTGAGGTAGTAGGTTGGCAAACAGCAACTGCTCAGGGAGGTATTACTGTCCTGCTAAGCGAGTGTAAAACGGAAGCCTGTAATTGTTTTACATGATGGTAGGATTGCTGGTGTCTTTTTTCTGTCTCATAAACATGCAAGATTTCAGGTACATCTTGCTACTTCTACTTACACTTAGGTCACACTGCACATACATGTACAAGCATATATATATACACACCCCTCTGGGTTTTCTGCTATTTTCTTTCTTGTTCTTGTTTATTTCCTCTTACCTCCATGGGGAAGTGGAACAGAATTGTTCCTCCGTAAGCCATGCGTGTCGTAAGAGGCGACTAAAATGCTGGGAGCAAGGGGCTAGTAACCCCTTCTCCTGTATGTATTACTAAATTTAAAAGGCAAAACTTTCATTTTTACTTTTGGGCCACCCAACCTCAAGTGGGATATGGCTGGTGCATTGAAAGAAGAAGAAACATGCAAGATTTCAGGTACATCTTGCTACTTCTACTTACACTTAGGTCACACTATACATGCATGTACAAGCATATATATACATACCCCTCTGGGTTTTCTATTTTCTTATTAGTCCTTGTTCTTGTTTATTTCTGCTTGTCTCCACGGGGGAAGTGGAACAGAATTCTTCCTCTCTTAGCCATGCGTGTCGTATTGGCGACTAAAATGTCAGGAGCAATGGGCTAGTAACCCTTTTTCCTGTATATACAGTATTACTAAATTTAAAAAGGGAAACTTTTTTTTTTTCTTTTTGGGCAACCCTGCCTTGGTGGGATATGGCCAGTTCATTGAAAGAAGAGAAAGATATTTAAAAAAAGTTATGGTAAACAGTCTTTATCTGTGTGATCTGATTATGAGTGCACATATTTATGATGCTTACTGTATGTATGTATGTATGTATGTATGTATGCATGCATGCATGCAATATGATTATTTTATTAGTTGAATCATGTGCAATATTTTCAGATGTGAAGCTGACCCAGATATACTACCAAGAACACACAACTTTGGAGTACATTATCGAGACTTTTACCAAATGTGCCAACAAGATTGTCCTGCACTATTTTTGCAAATGGCTTTTCAGTGCTGTCAGGTAAGATTTTTTAATATCTGGGTAAATGCATCTGTTTAGGTATCAACTTGTGTATAGAGTACTGTATGTAAGACAGGTTATCAAATTGATCGGAGAAAGTACAATAAATGTAGAATAGATAGCAAGTTACTAAATGCTGTAAAGAGTTTTTATGAGGATAGTGAGGCTCAGGTTAGGGCGTGTAGGAGAGAGGGAGATTACCTTCCAGTAAAAATAGGCCTTAGACAGGGATGTATAATGTCAACATGGTTCTTTAAGCAGTAAAAACAACATAATACATCACAGCAAGGAACTAAAACTACATATTCACTTTTATTTTTGTAAGATGTGGAGGCCTTAAAAAAAGTTGTTTGGTTTCTTGGGGGCTCCCAGGAACATAACCCTATTTTTCCCACAAGTTCTTCAGTTCATCTGACACTATTTTATCTAACACGGCATTTTCAGGAATGTAACTATACCATGCTAAATGACGGTCTACTCTACTACTTGTTCTCAATATCTGTATTCATCTCAAATGTTAATGAATCCATTGTATCCACCTAAGGTTAATAATCAAAATTGTACGTCTTCTCTACAAGACTTATTAACCCTTTCAGGGTTTCGGCCGTACGAGTATGGCTTACGTGCCAGGGTCCTTGACGTACTAGTACTCATAATTTCTAGCGCCTTCAAATCTAGTGAGAGAAAGCTGGTAGGCCTACATATGAAAGAATGAGTCTATGTGGTCAGTGTGCGCATTATAAAAAAAGTCCTGCAGCACACAGTGCGTAATGAGAAAAAAAAAAATTTTGGCCGTGTTTTTTGGATTAAAACAGCGGCTTTGCACTGTATTTTTGTATGGTATTTATTGTTGTATTCTAGTTTTCCTGGTCTCATTTTTTAGAATGGAAGACATATTACAGAAATTGAGATGATTTTGACTGGTTTTAAAATGAAAAGTACCTTGAAATTGAGCTCAAAGTAGCAGAAATGTTCGATTTTTACCAAAGTTCAAAAGTAAACAAATTATGCTAAGCGTCCAATACACATCAACTGGTGAGTCTAATATTCTTTCAAAAGTGCACCGATATTATTTATACCATTTCTACACTAATGCAGTAGTCTGCGTAACAGTAAACCTGTTTTTTGTGAGAAGAAAAATTCAAAATGGAAAGCAAAAGAATGTAAGAGGGGCATGGGGACCTGACTAATGAACAGAGGAAATGTTACTTTAGTGCCAGTAATGTCTGTCTTGTTTATTCTGGACCCTATTCAGAAGTTGGCATCTTTTGAAATTTGTGTGAAATTGGCAAAATTGCTCAATGCTGACCACTGTTTTGGATAGTTGAAATTGTTAAATGGGTGGTTTCTTGTACTCGTTCGATAGAAAAAATGGAGTTCTAGCTAAATAGGTATGATTTTTGTCAACTAGTACACTGGAATTGGCCGAAAATAGGGCTCAAAGTGGGCAAAATCGCCAATGCATAAACATCGTAGAGACCGCTAAATTCGCGAGAGCATAATTCTGTAAGTTTTCCATCAAATTTCATACTTTTGGTGTCATTATGATCGGGAAAAGATTCTCTATCTTTTCATGAGAAAAAAATAATTTTATTTTTTTTAATTTGAGGGACCCTGAGAACAAGTCTCTGAGAGGGCCTGTGGACCCTGAAAGGGTTAAAGCCATAGAGCATGACCCAATAGAATACTCAAGTCTCTTGTATTCATTGTAACTCATCTCATGACCATATGTACTGTTATTGCCTTATTAACCCCTTGACTGTCGCAACCCCCAATCCTGAGGTGTCTCCTGGTGTCGCAAAATTTAAAAAAAAAAATTATTTTTTCTTATGAAATGATAGAGAATCTTTTCCCGATTGTAAAGACACCAAAAAAACGAAATTTGATGGAAAACTGATGGAATTACGCTCTCGCGAAGTTAGCGACCTCAGCGATATTTACAAATCGGCAATTTCGCCCACTTTGAGCCCTATTTTCGGCTAATTCCATTATTCCAGTCAACCAAACTCATAGCTATTTCTTCAGAACTCCACTTGTTCTATCGATTGAGTACAAGAAACTGCCCATTTACTGATTTCAACTACCCAATAACATGGTCAGAAATTTGCAATTTGGCCAATTTCACGAAAATTAAAAAAAAATGACAGTTTCAAAATAAGGACCAGAATGAACACTGCAGACATTCCTGGCTCTAAAATAACATTTTCTTTGTTCATCAGTCATGTCTCCAGGCCCCTCTGATATTACTCTTGCTTTTTATTTTGAAATTTTATTCAAACAAAAAATAAAAGATTTACTGTTATGCAGACTATTACAATACTGTAATAATTGTAAAAATTACATCAACCCATTCATGACTGCATATTAGAACGGCTATTTAGACATTTATTGGACAGTGACATCATTTATTTACTTTTGAACATTGGCAAAAATCAAACATTTCCCGTACTTTGTGCTCCATTTCCAGGTTCTATTTATAATAAAATCAATCAAAATCACCTCTATTTCTATAATATATTTTCCATTCTATCAAATGAGACCAAGAAAATGAGAATACAACCATAAATACTATACGAAAATAGACCACAAAGTCGGCATTTTAATTAAAAAAAATGGTCGGAGTTTTTTTTTCTCATTATGCACTGCGTGCTCCAGGATCTTTTTTATATGGTGCACAGTGACCACACAGACCCATTCTCTCACATGTGGGCCTACCAGCTTTCTCCTGCTTGATTTGAAGCCGCTAGAATTTGAGTATATATACGTCAAACACGGTACCTCGTACGACGTATATATACGGCCGCGACAGTCAAAGGGTTAATCTTAAGTTAATTTTAAGTTTGCCTGAAATGCTCTGCATATAAAGGGGTTTTTGGCATGTACAGCCAATTATTGTATTCCTTTATGTAAACATGCATCATGTCAAATTAAAATACAGTGGACCCTCGACCAACGATGGCATCGATTAACGATAAATCCGACTAGCGATACATTTTAACGCAAAACTTTTGCCTCGACTAGCGCTAAAAAACTCGACCAACACTATTTGTTTCGTCAGACGCGTCCACTTCTGGCAAGTGTTTACAAGCCAGCCAGCCACCACAGTCGCTTCCAAGCATACAATCGGAACATTTCATGTTATCACAGCCTTTTTAGTGATTGCACCTGCAAAATAAGTCACCATGGGCCCCAAGAAATCTTCTAGTGCCAACCCTACAGCAAAAAGGTGAGAATTACTATGGATATGAAGAAAGAGATCATTGCTAAGTATGAAAGTGGAGTGCATTCCTCTGAGCTGGCCAGGTTGTACACAAAACCCCAATCAACCATCGCTACTATTGTGGCCAAGAAAACGGCAATCAAGGAAGCTGTTCTTGCCAAAGGTGCAACTATGTTTTCGAAACTGAGATCGCAAGTACTCGAAGATGTTGAGAGACTGTTATTGGTGTGGATAAATGAAAAACAGATAGCAGGAGATAGCATCTCTCAAGCGATCATATGTGAAAAGGCTAGGAAGTTGCATGACGATTTAATGAAAAAAATGCCAGCAACTAGTGGTGATGTGAGTGAATTTAAGGCCAGCAAAGGTTGGTTTGAGAGATTTAAAGGGAAGGGAAGTAACCCCGGAAAAGGACTTGCCACCTCAAGGCCTAATGGAAGGGGATTCCCCTTTTAAACACTAAGACCATCAACACTCTCCCCTCCTCCCATCCCAACAATCATCACCAGATCTTCAATAAAGGTAAGTGTCATGTAACTGTGCATGTCTTCTTCAGTTTGTGTGTATTAAAATTAATATTGTGGTAAAAACAATTTTTTTTTTCATACTTTGGGGTGTCCTACACGGATTAATTTGATTTCCATTATTTCTTATGGGGAAAATTAACTTGACTAACGATGAGCTCTCAGGAACGGATTAATAGCGTTAGTCGAGGGTCCACTGTATTATTATTATTACGGATTAATGAAAATGTCTATATTAACCCCTTGACTGTTGCAACCCCAAATCCTGAGGTGCCTCAAAATCTCAACCCCCCTTCCATTATTTTTTTCTTATGAAATGATAGAGAATCTTTTCCTGATTATAATGATACCAAAAGAACGAAATTTGATGGAAAACTGACGGAATTACGCTCTCGCGAAGTTAGCGACCTCGGCAATATTTGCGAACCAGCAATTTCACCCACTTTGAGCCCTTTTTTTGGCTAATTCCATTGTTCTAGTTGACCACACTCATAGCTATTTATTTAGAACTCCATTTTTTCTATCGATTGAGTACAAGAAAGTGCCCATATACCAATTTCAACTACCCAATAATGTGGTCAGAAATTTGCACTTTGGCCAATTTAACGAAAATTAAAAAATATGACATTTTCAAAATAAGGACCAGAATGAACAATGCAGACATTCCTGGCTCTAAAATAACATTTTCTTTGTTCATCAGTCATGTCTCCAGGCCCCTCTGATATTCCTCTTGCTTTCTGTTTTGAATTTTTATTCAAACAAAAATAGAAGATTTACTGTTATGCAGACTACTGCAATATTGTAATAATTGTATAAATGTTAACTGATTCATGACTGCATATTAGAATGGCTATTTGGACATTTATTGGAAAATGACATCATTTGTTTACTTTTGAGCATCGGCAAAAATCAAACATTTCCCCTACTTTGAGCTCCATTTCAAGGTTCTTTTCATAGCAAAACCAATCAAAATCACTTCTATTTCTATAATATGTTTTCCATTCTATCAAATGAGACCAAGAAAACGAGAATACAACCATAAATTCTATATGAAAATAGACCACAAAGTCAGCATTTTAATTAAAAAAATGGTTGGATTTTTTTCTCATTATGCACTATATGCTGCAGGATTTTTTTATATGGTGCACACCAACACAGACCCATTCTCTCACATGTGGACCTTCCAGCTTTCCCCTGCTTGATTTGAAGCCGCTAGAATTTGAGTATATACAGTAGGGCCCCACTTTACGGTGTTC